GCCGCGCTGCCGCCGCGCTGCCACTCCAGCTCCAGCTCCAGCGTGCGCGCCGCGATGGGCCTGGAATGTAGATGGTCGTCCTGCCTTCTCTCCGCGCACACGCAGCACGCAGTTCGCGGCCGCTTTGTTGCACTTTTGCCGCTCTTTTGCCGCACTTTTGCCGCACTTTTGCCGCACTTTTGCCGCACTCCCGGCTCTTTCGCTGCGTCTCCTCGTTTACCGGGATTCCCCGCGGCGGTAATCGTCGGCGCGCAGCTTGGCCCCCCGCGGCCCTCCGCGGCGGCCGGGACGGCGAATTCATTCTCACGTGCTCCGCCGAGCCGAGTCGTTTCGCCGCTCTGTCTCTGCCGCACTCATAGGGCTCTCCATAAGGGTGCGCCGGAGACAAACGACAAACCGCTCGGCTGGATCGGGCGGCTGCTTTCCCCCGAGAGGTCGTCCTGGAGGAGGTCGTCCTGCAGGAGGAGACCAGGCAGGGCGGCGATGAGTCCGCGAACCCCTTTCGCGCGGCCCTCAGCCTCCGGCCGCCTCGCCGCCTCGCCGCCAAAGGCTTGGCCAAAGGGCACGCGCCGGACTCCAAAGCGGCCGCGGGGCGTGGCCGTGCCGCGGCGTGCTACGTCTCTCTCGCACCCGCCGAGACGCCCCTTGAGTGCGAGAGAGAGAGAGCACTGTTTCGGCATCGGCCTGCTGCGCGGTGTGATCTCATCTCGAGGCCACCGCAGCATGAGCGTCACGTCGTCGACCTGACTCCCGATGGACTGAGAGCCCCCCCCCCTTCCCCTGAAACTCAAACGGCTTTTGTTGCGTCAGACGCCGCCCCGTCGCGCACTGCGTCCTGTCCGCCGCCGCTTTCACTCCAGCGGGCCATGCCGCCGGGCCGCCGTCGGCGCCGTCCGCCACGCACCACGCAGCAGGCCCTGCAGGGCATGCCGGTGCCGCGAGTACTGGAGGAGGGCCCGGAGGCCGGAGGAGGCGCCCTGCCTGGCCCACCTCGTCCGCCTAGCAGGGCGTGGCCGCGCCGGGCCGTGGCGAGCCGCGCCAGCCTTGGACACAATGATGCAGGACATGCAGGGCGCGCCTGGGCACGCCACCGGCCGGGAGCCCGGCAGCCACGCCGCGGTGGCCGAGAAGTGCGTGCGCGTTGTAGTGCCGCGGAGAGGAAGACGCAGCGCAGCGACTGCTTCCAACGACGCCCTGTCCTCCAGCGCGTTTGTTTTGTTCTTTCCAGACCCAGGGCGATTGTAATAATTTGGTCGTGTTGCTTTTTGTCCCTTTTCTTCTTGCCTCATTTTTTTCGAAGGCAAGATGGACGCGTTACGTTGATTCCAAAGTCTTTCCCTGGTAAAACAAATTGCACTCCCTTTTTTTGCGGTGCTGGTTGGAACGGTCGGCCGCCGCGATGAAGCACACGGTGACGACTCGCGGTAACTGACGGCGCCTTACGGACCCCTCGGCCACTTTGGTGGCGGCGCGGTGACATTTTTCGTCAGGACGCGCGGTAACTGTTCTGGGGCCGCGGTGCGGCGCGCGGTGCGGTGTGGGAGGCGCGAGGTGGCGCCCTCCGCGGAGTGCCCGAACCAGGACGACGGCCCGCCGCGGCCCGCCCGTTCCCAGTGCCGTTTCGCCGCGTTTCGCCGCGTTTTGCAGACCAGAAGCACGACAGCGCGGACGCGACTCCTGGCTCGTGCCAGCAAATGGACGCCAAGCTTGCTCTCGGCACGCTCCACGCTCGCGCGTTGAAGTCTCCGTGGCCAAACTGGCTTACCGGTGCATAATATCGCATCGACACGTCGTTACGACACTGCGAGTGGGCACGCCTTGGGACGCTACGCTACACTGTGGAGCCCGCTGGAGTTCTGTTCGTCAAATCGGTGAGAATGGCCAGGATAGGGGCAGGGGCAGCCGGCGTGTGGCCTGGCGGGCCTGGCGGTTGCGCCCGTTTGTGGGTGCGGGGCGGGCTGCCGGCTGGTTGCGAGCGGAGGCCCTTCTGTCTCCGTCACACCCGTCAGTGCGAGAGAGAGAGGGACGACCCCGCTCGGAGGCAGCCAGCTGGCGGGTGCGGCGGTCGCGAGTGAGTCACGTCAAGGTGCGTGTTCCCCGTGGGCGCTGGCCGGGCACGTCGGCCACGTCCGCGAAAAGCCTCGCATCTCACATCGCAGCGGGCGGCGTTCGCCCCGCACAAGACGCCCGACAAGGCACAGATCCCGCAGCTACCGAACAAAATGGAAAACGCAGAAACTCTCTGTCTGTTTTGACAGTGTGTGTACTTTCGGTGGCTCGCGGGGGCAGCGGACTACAGCGGAGGAAGGCCACGCTTGCCAGGTTGTGCGGCGTAAAGTGTGTTTGCATTGGCGATGCCCAAGGCCGCGTGCCGCGTGGCGTCCATTTAGCATAAGCTTCTCCAGGCGAGCCAGGCGAGCCAGCCAGACGCAAGGGCGCCGGGCCGGGCCGAGCCGAGCCGAGCCGAGCCGAGCCGAGCCGAGCCGAGCCAGGCGTGGGGTGTGAATCCGACATGACGGCAACGGCACACAGCGCGGAGCCATCAATTGCCTAGACAATCGTCCTTTTGAACGCTACGTGCGCGTTGTGTGGCGTTTCGCGTGCGTGGGTTCGAATCCCGGCGCCTATTCCCCTTTCTTTCTGCCTCGCTGCCGACAGTGTCGCGCCCGGGAAGGGACGCCACTGCGGATGTCCACATGCAAATGAGGGCCTCTTGGCGCGTGCCGACTAGCGCGACTAGCGCTGCCGAAGTCGCGGCGGCGGTTTTCCAGTGACGTGGCGCGGCGTGCTGCGCGTTGCCAACCGCACAGTGTGGGAACGCAATGCCGGTGGTGCCGGTGGTCCGGGCGTGGGAACGATACGGGAATCGGGCTGCTTCGCCGCTTCGCTCGCTTTGCTGCTTAGTCGGCAGGCCATTATGATCGCCAGGCTACACGACTTGGCTCCATAAAACACCTCGGCACACTGCCTTGCCTGCCGGGGCGGGCTGGCCGGGACACGTCGGTGCCTCGGTCAACACCTGCTCGGCGGGACGCGAACAGCGTCATCAGGAGCGACAAACGCTAGAGTAAACAGCAAGCATCGCACCTCAAACGAAACATTTCCACTTTGGTACGAAAACTGTTCGGAAAATTTGGCTCGGAAAAGTTATGGACGTTTCTCCGTAGTCTCCGAAAACATCTCATGGGAACAAAAACCTGTCGTGCTCATGGTGCTTCGGATAAACCATCGACCGGACTTTTTCTTATTCTTTCTCCTGCCAGTGCTCGCTGGCGACAATGCCTGGGCAGTTGCACGATTTGCAGCTCTGCAGTGCCGTGATAAGGGAGCGGGCGGGTCCATCTTAATGAACATCGTGGGCGCTGGATTAGGCGCGCGGTGCACTGCAGTGAGTGTCGGCCAGTCGGCTGGGTGCGTTGCGCCGCGTTGCGCCGCGTTGCGCAGCCGGGCCGCCCCGCCGGCTTGGCGCAGCCTGGCGCAGCTTGGCACTTCCGTGAGAATCGTTTCATTGAATTGGCCGGGCCGGCCAGGCCCGCGCGCTGGCGGCCGCCGTGGCGGGGCGGGGCGGGGCGCGTATCGGTATCGTTTCGAGCAGCGCGCGCCGCCCAGCCCGCCCAGCGCACCATGCAGGGCGCGCGGCGCGGCGTGGCGCGGCGTGGCGTGGCCTGGCACCGCGCAGCAGGCCGTCGCCTACACCGTTACGATACGCGCTGCGGGCGATCGGGGAGACACACTTTACCGCACGCGAGGCGAGTTGTTCAGCAGTTGTCATTCATGCATTCGTGTTCATTCGTGTTCATTGATGCATTCATTCATTCGTGTCCATTGTTGCATCATTTATTCGTGCCCATTCATTCATTCATTCATTCATTCATTCATTCATTCATTCATTCATTCATTCATTCATTCATTCATTCATTCATTCATTCATTCATTCATTCATTCATTCATTCATTCATTCATTCATTCATTCATTCATTCATTCATTCATTCATTTCTTCGTTCGTCCGCCCGTTGAGCAATATGACATTTCAATGCTCTTCGCCAAGACGGCCGAAATGACGGGTGTCTTCTGCACGCTCTGGGCGCGGGGCCAAGCGCCACGCCCCGCCTTGGCCACGCCCCGCCACGCCCCGCCACGCCCTCGGAGCACCGAAAGCGATAATAGAGCAATGAGCACACCGCGGCATGCCGCTCTGTAAGGTCTATAATCCGGAGAGTGGATTGTGGAGTGGATTCGGGGAGTAGGTTCGTGGGGCACAGAGCGGGCCGTGTTGGTGTTCAATGTTACGGCCGGTGACGCAAGCACGCCGCGCCGAGCAGCCCGCGCTCTTCGCGCCCTTCGCGGCTCGCTGTTCCCGCAGCACTGCACCGCACTGCAGACTCCGCCTCGCCTGGCCGCGCCGCTCGTCAGAAACCATTAATTAACAACAACAATGATAACAACGCGCGTTGTTGGCAAGTTGTTTTTCCAGGCCATCTTTGTTATTCCACTGGTTCGGGGAAAGAAATGCCTGGCGGCAACGCGATCACCGCGTCACGCCCACAGCCGCAATCACACTCACTCACTCACTCCGACAACACTCTCCGTCTCTCTCACTCTCTCGCGCCTCTCACCGCACCCGCATCCTCGCTACCCGCTCTCGGAAACACGTGTACTCGTGTGTGGGCACACTGGCCGGCCAGGGCGGCCCCGGCCAGGCGAGGGGCCCCGCCGACCGCCACCTGTTAACCTGCGGCCTGCGGTGACCGGCCGGCCGAGCCCCGGCCGAGCCCACGTGTGTCACGGAGCAGTGTTCCTCCGTCCGTCCGTCCGTCCGTCCGTCCGTCGCGGTGCTTGACTCACTCGGCGACCACACGCATGGGCGTAGGCACCGCGGCCGTAATTGCGTAAGTTCATTACTGCGCGAACCCACTGCCCCGATCGGCGTGGCAGGGGCGGGGGCGGCGGGGGCCACCCCCGCGCGGTTTGTTGCTGCTTGTTGCTGCCTGCTGCTTACCAGCGCGTAGACGCCGATGACGAACGACGCCACCATGAGGCTGCAGCAGAGGCACGAGTCCAGGAGCGCCATCTTGTTGTCGCGGGCCCGGCTCGGCTCCGATATCCAATGGATCGGCTGGGCCGCGAACAGACAGCTCGGCTCGTCTCGGTACCGGCTGGGCGAGGCAGGCGAGGCAGGGCTAGCCCGGCTCCATACGTCGCGATGCCATCATGAGGCCATGGGGCCGGCGGGGCCGGCGTGGTCACTGCACTCCACTGCAAACGCACCGCGACCCGTCGGGGGCACGAGAGTGGCGGTGTTGTAGCCGTCGGTGGAGGCGCTAGGTGCCGACGGCGCGGGCTGGCGGGGCTACCCGAGCGCCGACACTGTCGAGGCGGTCCAGGCTGTCGCCGTGGAGGCGCCACTCCCCCATGGCGCCGACGGCCGGGGCGCCGAACTGCGTTAGCAGTGCAGCAGCACGCCCACCGTGGCGGGGAATGCGGCTAGGAGGACATCGACACAGCACCGCCCTCCAAAGGGCAGCACTCACACAGAGGCACACACACGAACACGCACGCACACGCAACGCCGTCGAGGGGCACCGCCGCCGTACACCTGCAGGCACGCCCAAGGCACGCCGCGCGCCCGGCTCGGTGTGCAGACGGTGCAGCGGCCACGAGCGAACTGGCTGGCTGGGCCCGGCCTGCTCGGCCCCACTCCGGAGCGCCTGGCCGCGCCGTGCCCCTCGCCGTGCCCCACGCCGTGCCCCACGCCGTGCCCCTGGCCGCGGCGAGGCGCCAGCTCCGCGGCCCCCGCGGCCCCCGCGGCCCCGCTCCCAACAGCTGGTGGACAGTTGGGCCCGCTGGCACCGTCACCAGGCCATGCTGCAGCGGGGCCTACTAGTCCTAGCGGTGCCCTGACCCAACGAGCCGAAAACGCCGAAACGCCCCTCGGACTGGCGTCGGCCTGGGCCGGCCTGGGCCGCCTCCTCCACGTCCGGGAGCAGAAGAAGTCAACGAGGACGGCGACGTGTCGCCCCCTCGGCCCGCCCACGTCGGCAACCCCGCTGCAGCAACGACGGAGTGCGGCTCGCGCACGCCACTGCTTTCCTCGCCCCTCCGCCTTCACCCACTCCACCTCCACTCCGGCCCAGCGTTAGCGTCGCCACGCGCCGCTGAGCACAACAATCACACGACACTAATTAAACGTTGCCACGGCTGCGGCGCCGCGCGGCCGTCGTTTGTTGGTGCTGCGCGGTCACTGCGGCGTCCTCGGCCCCCGCCGCGGGGTTACAGTCGTCGCATTGTCGCCGCCCGTCTCCATGGCAACCTTTGCCTCGCGACCTAGGCTCGCGGCGCTACCGCGTCGTTCGGGAGAAATGCGTTCCGCCGCCGTCAACGCGAGTGCAGAAGTCGCACACGCCGCGGCGTCGGCACCGACGTTTCTCCGAGATAAGTAGTGTCTCGGAACGGGGCCGATGTGACGCGACGACGGGCTTCTCTCTTCCTTTCTCCGCATCCTCACGTCGGTCGTCGTCACCGATCCCATTCTGGACAGACTCGACGGCGAGCCCGGCCCGGCCGCAGCCCCGGTCCCACCGAAAGGACCAGCCGCGTGCTGTGGTTGGAGTAGGGAGCAGCGAAGCGAGGCCGCGGCCGAGAAGAGCGCTGCGGTCGACGAGCACGAGGCGCCCGCACGGGAGAAGTCAACGGGGCGGCTACGCCCGGCGTCGGGCAACCCAACGTACTCGCCAACGCGCCCCCCGGCGTCGGGAGCCAGGCAACCCATCCGGCGAGCCACCTGGCGACCGCCCTTGCGCGGTGCGCCCGGAGCCAGGCAGCCCATCGTGCTGGCCGGACTGGCGGGGCTGGCGGGCTGGGCGGGCAGCGCCCGGAGAGGCAGTGAAGCAGCCTTCCGCTCCTGTCCGCTCGTTGAATGGCCGGGCCTGGCCGGGCCTTCATGGCAGGAAGCGGGCCTGTGTCGCCGATAACCCGCTGAAGAGTCTCGACGCCGCCATGGCGCGCCACCGACACTGATAACTTATTCCTCTGCGAAAGCGAAAAACGAAGAACGAAGGGCCAATGCGCGGCCGCGGCGTGGCAACCGGACGGCTTAGCCGGCCGAAATGGCTGAACCGCGAATCCGGGAATCCCCGGTGCGGCGCGGCCAGCTCGACGGCCTCCCCGTCGTGTTTTCGGCGTTCGGAAGGCGCTTGCTGGACGTCCCTTTTGACCGACGGGCCTTATCGTGGCCGGGGCCCCCGGGCGGCGCGACGGCCAGGCAGGCCGTCGACAGTGTTTTAAACGCGATCAGTGCCGCGAAGGGGCTTCAGTCCCCGGACTCGGCCGTCGCAGGCAGGCGAAATGAGCGCGACTCCGCCCCGCCATGGAAGGTAAAGCGCCACCAAGTTGAACGGAAGCAGGGGTAGAGCGGAGGAGGTGGTTGTTGTTTGTTGTTGACGTCGTTGGATTTGCTGTCGGAACTTAGGGAAGAAGAAAAGCTCGTGCTCGTAAGAAATACTCATTTACAGATATGTTGGTATTTCAGTATGCGAGAAAATCTGCAACTTGAGGAAACCTCCACGTTTGTCACGTTGATGGCATAAGAGAAAAGTTGCTGCTTGAGTGAATCCTCTTGGAGGTATTCCAGATTCACTAGAGTGAACCTCGTCGTTGAGGGACCTCTCTTAGTGGGTTTTTCAGAATTTTTCAAGGATACTTCCTTTGGCAGAATCCAAGAATGGCATAAGAGAAAAGCTGCTGCTTGAGGGAACTCTCTTTGGTGCAATCCAAGAATGGCATAGAGAAAAGCTGCTGCTTGAGGGAACTCTCTTTGGTGCAATCCCAGAATGGCATAGAGAAAAGCTGCTGCTTGAGGGAACTCTCTTTGGTGCAATCCCAGAATGGCATAGAGAAAAGCTGCTGCTTAAGGGAACTCTCTTTGGTGCAATCCCAGAATGGCATAGAGAAAAGCTGCTGCTTGAGGGAACTCTCTTTGGTGCAATCCCAGAATGGCATAGAGAAAAGCTGCTGCTTGAAGGAACTCTCTTTGGTGCAATCCCAGAATGGCATAGAGAAAAGCTGCTGCTTGAGGGAACTCCTCTTTGTACTATCCCAGAATGAAGCTGCTGCTTGAGGGAACTCTCTTTGGTGCTATCCAGAATGGCACGAGAAAAGCTGCTGCTTGAGGGAACTCTCTTTGGTGCTATCCCAGAATAGCAGAAGAGAAAAGTTACTGCTCAGCTTGAGGGTACTTTCTCGGTGTTACTCAGTACTATACCATAAGAGTGATGCTAGTTGTTTTGAGGGAACTTTCTTGATTAGTTCCCGGCACAAGAGAAAAGCTTTCGCTCTCAGAGTGTAATAAGAAATTGCTGCTTGAGAAAACTCACATTTTTTTGTGGTGTACAAGAAAAGCATAAAAGGAAAAGCTGGTGCTTAAAGGAATTGTGTCTTGTGGCGCTCCACAATCTCCACAAATGACACTGGAAAAGCTGATGCTTGGGAAATCTCTCATTCTTGTGTTCTTTATCAGAACAGTACGAGACGGTGAAACTGCTGTTTAAAGGAATGTTTTTGTGTGGTGTCCCAAAATGGAATGAAAGAAAAGTTGCTGCTCGAGAAAACTTCATTTAGAACCTGACTTGAAACAGTTTGGACTGCAGATCCTCCGCTTTTCGGCGTGGGAGAAAGGCTGCCGCATCCGGTCACTCCTCTTCCAGTGTGAGCTTTATTCCGGGATGGCATAAAAGAATAGCTGCTGCTTTAGGGAAATGATCTCGTTTAATTCCGGCTCCTTGCCTTTTTGCCTTGCTGCAAATACACAGAAAAAGACAGTGCTGACACTGAATGGAATATCATAATCACCAAGCTGGGGCTATTTATGCCTTTTCCGCCACCTACGCTGATAAACTTTCACTAAAAGGCTCTAAATGAGCTCGCCACTGCCTGCACTGCACTGCGCGCACTGCGTCCGGACGCCGCATACATGCATTTTAAAACTTCCTTTACACGGCTCGTGCCAAAGCCTTATCCTATGAGAAAAAGCGCAGGATTTACGACGGCAATGCTATCTGCTGACTCTTGTGTGTGCGCGCTGTTTCTGTTTTTCACGTCGTTCTGGTCGTTCTGCCGTGTGAAAGGCTGAAAGTCGCTCTGCCTGTTCCAGCCCGCGCTGGTTCGTCCAGGCCGCCGTCCTGGCCGTCGTCCTCGCGGCCGTCGGCAAGGCGTCCGCCCGGTAAGCAACGTTCCGCCCTTTTTGTCGCCGCGTCGCTCTGCCTGCGTCACGCAGCCTGTCCCTGTGCGCCAGGTGCCCCAACACGCCGGCGGTGAGCTGCCCGAGGACGCCGTGGCGGTCGTTCGACGGCTCCTGCAACAATCCGCAGGACTCCACCAGGGGCATGGCCAACACGCCGCTCATCAGGATACTGCCCGCCACGTACGCGGACGGTGCGTTCTCGGCGTGTGACAGACAGACGGCCCTCTGGCGTCGACGAAGGTCCCTCTGAGGTCCGTAACCCTGTGCTCCGCGCCCCGCAGGTCGGCACCAGCCTCGCCGCGGATTCGGCAACGCGACGCTCCCCAGCGCCCGGCTGCTCGTCACCACCTTCCTCCCGGACCGCAACGCGCCCAGCCGCTCGTCCAACATCATGTTCATGACGTGGGCGCAGCTGGTGTCGCACGACGCGGCCCGCCTGCAGGCGCCCTTCCCCAGGGGTGAGCGCCGAACCTCGTACCGGCTTCCTCGCGGACCCTCAGTCACGTCTGACCTTGTCCGCCTTGCCCGCAGCCAACAGCGCGTGCTGCGACGCGGAGGAGCCGACGGACCAGTGCAGCCGCATCCCCGTCCCGGACGACGACCCCTTCTTCCCCAGGTTCGGCGTCAAGTGCTTCGGCGTGGGCCGCGCCGCCGCCGCCCCGTGCTCCGTAAGTCACCGCCACCGCCCTGCAGCATCAGCAGCCGCCACCGCGACACTGCGAACCGCTGTGATCAGGGCGACGGTCTGGTTGCAGGGCACGGCCTTCGAGCAGAACAGCCTCGTCTCGCACTACCTGGACGCGTCCTTCGTGTACGGCTCCAACGCGGCGACCGCCAACCGACTCCGCGAAGGCCGCGGCGGCCGCCTCCGCACGCAGGTCATCATGGGCCAGGAGTTCCTGCCGCGCAGCGCCGGTGGCGGCCTGGACGCGGGCGACGGCAGAGTCACCATCACGCCGATGCTGGCGCTGCTGCAGACGCTGTGGCTCCTGGAGCACAACCGCGTGGCGCGCCGCCTGTCCGACATGAACGTCCTGTGGGACGACGAGCGCCTGTTCCAGGAGACGCGCCGCATCGTCATCGCGCAGTGGCAGCTCATCACGTACCGCGACTTTCTGCCCAAGCTCATCGGTACGTCGCGACGCGTCCGACGTGTCGTGGGGACTGGTGGCGCCGTTTGCCGCGCCTCGCGGGGCGGGGCGTTTCCCTAAGTTTACCGATTGGGCTTTTGTTGCGCCAGGCGCGGCTGCGGTGGACAAGAACGGCCTGCGCCCGTCCGTGACGTCCTTCAGCCAGGACTACGACCCCAGTGTGGACGCCAGCACCGCCAACGACTTCACGACGGGGGCCTTCCGCTCCTTCCACTCCATGGTCGCCAACGACGTCAGGTACGCGTCGCGGCGTCGCCCCGCCGGCGTTGCCTCGCTCTTTACTGCGGCTCAGCACCTCGCCGTTTGGCCGGCCCGGCAGGTTTGGCGGCGGCGGCGGCGAGATGCCGGGGAGGCCCATGCTGCTGAGCGGCGTCCCCGCCGAGGCCATCCTCAGCCCCACCAACTTCCGGCGCGCCGCCCTGGGCACCCTGTTCCAGCCTCGCCAGGGCCAGGACCGCTTCATCGCCGCCGAGGTGCGTACTGCGTTCTGGTAATGGGACTCACCGCTCTTTACGACCGAGCCTTGACCCCGTCCACCCTTTCCGCAAAGATCACCACCAAGATGTTCGCCGGCAACAGCCCGTTCGGCGGGGACCTGCTGGCCACGGACATCCAGCGGGCGCGCGACAACGGCCTGGGCTCCTACAACGACTACAGAGAGCAATGCAACCTGCCCCGAGCCAAGGAGTGGACCGACTTCACGGACACCATTCCGTCGCAGGTGCCGGTCGTAGCAATGGGAAAACGACCCCGAAAAGCGTGTGAATGACACACCCTGTTTGCAGCACATCGAGGCGCTGAGCGAGCACTACGAGAAGCCCGACGACGTGGACGTGATGGTGGGCGGGCTGCTGGAGCAGTGGACGGACTCGTCGAGCGAGCCCAGCTTCACCTCGCCCGTGTTCCGCTGCCTGGTGGTGGACCAGTTCAAGCGCTGGAAGACAGGCGACAGCTTCTTCTTCGACCGGCTCGGACAGTTCGCCCTCGGTACGCGCCATCCCTCGCCTTTTCACTACACTGTGAATCCAATGGCCAGCCGACTGCACTGCAAAATTTTGTCGAGCTGCGGAGTGTTTTAGAGCCAGGCTTGCCGATTTTCGACATTCAAAACGCCTTGCTAATTTTATGGCTAGCAAACTTGCCGCCGCCTTTCTAGTGTAGCGTTTCAGCACCGTGGTTTTCTTCTTGCTCGCCCGTTCATACTCCTGGTTGTTGCCGCCACAGCCCAGCTGCGCACGCTCAACGACACCTCGCTGGCGCGCATCCTCTGCGACAATGTGCCCGGCATCGTCTCCGTGCCCAGGGACGCCTTCTCGCGGCCGGGCGCCGGCGGCACGCAGTGAGTGGGGCGCGCCCGCCAAACTGATTCCGAGCACTGGTGTGTCTCTCTCGCACTCATGGGGCGTTCCGTAGGAGTGCGGGAGAGTGACGAACCAGTGTGCTGGGGCCGCTTGAGGGTGGGGTGACCGTGGCTCATCGCCCTCGTGGCGCTAGGAGCGACGGAAACGCCGTGTGGAATCAGACTCGCCGTGCCACTGCGAGTCTGTGTCTGTTGCAGGGAGGTGCGCTGCAGCACCATCCGGGGCATCAACCTGAACGCGTGGCGCGAGGCGAGGAGGGGCTAGCGCTTCCGTCTCCGGCTACACTAGGAATTTTAATAAAATTAACTACAGTAAATACGACGCCGAGTTGCTGTGTGGCTGTGCGCCCTTTCGGGACGCCTCCGGCTAGTCCCCACCCGGTCCCATGACGAGGCACCTTGTGGCTGCTTTCATGCCTCTCGTCTGCGAGTGCCAGGGCAGCCAGGGCGGCCTGGGCCAGGCCCTCCAGGCCGGGCTGGGCGTGGCACAGTGGGCCAGAACACCGGTGGAGGCGGCCAAAACTCTAGACGCGTTTTGAGCCTTAGAGTCGCTGAATGGAACTCGAACCGAACATGTGACACCAATGGATTGCGCTCCAAATGAGGAGTCCATTGGTGGGGTCACACGCTCCGTTCGAGTTCCATTCAGCGACTCTGGAGCTCAAAACGCGTCTAGAGTTTTGGCCGCCTCCACCCGAGGGGGTATGCACTCGCGTAATAGTCGGTTCACTCTATCTGTAATAGCACGCGTAATAATACGCGTAATAGTCGCGTAATAGTCGCGTAATAGCCGAAATTGTCAAAATTTTATCAATTTTGGTGTGTTTTAGGCCGTTTTTAGCTAAATTCCGATCAATTTGTGGCGTAATAGAGCGTAATAGCGTAATAGTCGGTACACAGGTTCAGAGAGCGCATACCCCCTCGCCTCCACCGGTCTTCTGGCCCACTGAGCGTGGGCGGCACGGAAGGGCGCGTCGTGCGTCGTGCGTGCCGTCACGCGCCATAATGCGGCATGCAGAGGCACGCGGGGCGCCTCCACCTAGCGGAGCGCCCGGCCAACAACAACAAGAAAAATAACAACAGCGACGACAAACAACATCAACGACGACGAAAAAAGGACACAAGGTGGACCTACTTCCATTTCCAATTTCCCTCGCTCGAGGACTGCCGTGCACAACGGCGGCGAAAGAAGCAGAGCCCGGTAGTGGCGACTCCGTCAATACCCCCTTCTTTCCCCCCCTCGCGCGGGGGGTAGCGACGCCGGGCCGATTCGCGGGCCGTGTGATAGTGGAGTGATTCACGGTCAGTCCCCCCAGGCCGGGCCGGCGGCAGCCTGCGGCCCTGCCCTGCCCTGCCCTGCCCTGCCCCTCTCTGCGGGCCCAGCGAGTGTAACGCAACATGGCGTGGCCGTGCCGTGCCGCAGAGTGGCGCCAGTGTGAACAGGAAAAACATTTCTCCGGCGCTCGGCCGCACTGCGGGCGGTGGCGCGGTGGCGGCGTTCTGCTCGCAGCACAGGGCATGCCCTTGCCCTTGCCCGTGCCCGCTGCCGGGAGGGGGAGGGGGAGGGGGAGGGGGAGGGGAGGAGCGGCTCGCCGAATTCCTCCACACTTGTTCGCTGCATCAAAACGGCCGGCCGGCTCCCGATTCGAGGGATCCGTATTGTTTTCAATGCCAACCACCCCCTCTTCAGCTCCCGTGTAATTAATGGCGACCACGCCGGCCGTCGATGCGGTGGGGAAAAGGACTGGATTCGAAGAAAAAAGACGTGAAGAAATCACCTAAAATATGAAATAAATAATCCTCCGGGAGATAGGGTTAACGCCCTTCAGGTTTCCTTTTTTTTTTGCGGTTTGGAGTGGCGTCGTTGTCGTGAAGGCCCGTTCGGTTTCGTCGTGCTGACCCAGTGGCACGGCCTGCACGGCCTGCTCGGCGCACGGCGCACCACGAGGCACAACGCACGTCAACGAGTCCCTTGTCCTGGGCGGCTTGTTGCCCGTTGTCGCGTGGGAGCGCGCCCGTCATGTTGGCGTCCTGTTGCTTGCTTGTCCTGCCGCGCGCGCACACACACACACACGCACACGGCACCCGAACTCACACACACGCACACGACAGCAATCACCCTCTGTCCTAGTGAGGCGATACGTTGTGATTCCCAGTGTCAGCCCTGGCGGTGTACACACTGCCCAAAAAGTAATGGCGTGGCTTCGGATTTCGCGCGCGGTTCCGAGAAGCGGCCGTCGTCGGCGCGGGTCGCCTTTGACGACATCAAGATCCTCATCCGCCACCCGGCCGGCGGGCCCTCCACTGCGAACACGGCCTTCGGGCAGCCCGGTATCGCTTACATCCACAGCTGATGTATCGATGTATCGATTTCGGTCCGGGGGCCATAATGGGCATGCAAACTCGCGGCGGGCAAGGCATACAGTGCACCGCCGCGCACGGGAAGGCACAGCACTGGGATTTCCCTCTCCCTTTCAGAGAAGCCACACTAATGAGAGCTTCGTGCGGCTATTGTGTTGTATTGTCCCTATCTGGTTCGAGTTCTCCAAATGCCGTGCGGCGAGCTCGCTTTGCTGGAAGCCTCGCTGGAAGTCTCGCTGGAAGCAAGGCTGGAGGCACCGCTGGAAGGGCCTGGAAATGAGTTGGGGCCGGGATGGCTAGGATGGCCGGGATACACGGACGCCATCGCCAGGATGCATCTCCCAGGGGAAATGGAGGCAGTCATGAGCGGCCATGACGCCATAAGTCGAGTCATGAACTCGCTCGGGCCGTGGCCGCGGCCGGGTCCAGGACCAGGTCCCCTCCTAACGGCACCGGCCGTAGCCAGCGCCGACCGAATGCGCCTCGGCCGTCCCGGGGCCGTCCCGGGGCCGTCCCGGGGCCCGGCCACGCCATGGCCACGGACACGACAACGTCCCCGACATGGAACGAATCTGGGAAACACAGGAGTCCCAAAAAGGGCCAAGCGCGGACCGCCGGGGACATCAGGCGGCCGGGCCCCACTCGGGGCTCGGAGGGCCGCTGGCGCCGCTGGCTCTGGAAATGGCATCGCACGGACGGAGTCCGCCACGCAGGCTTCACAGCGTCGTGGCGACGCGGAAAATAAAACAGCTTTGAATTTTAGTACGAAATTGCAGGCATATCCGACAACATTCTGTCAGTACCAAACGTCAACAATGCATTTAAAAAATTGTCTTTTCAAAATAACAATAGGCCTAGCCAAAACTACACGGAATGTGTCTCAAATTATCAGTAATTCTACCAATTCATCCACTTTTTTACGCACTTAAATTCAAAGCAGACTCCCTTTGGCACGTTACGGCGTTTTACCCGCGGGCGTCTTCCTACGCGGGCTTGGTGCATTCCGCCACGCGGGGAAGAGAGAGAAAGAAAGAGGAGGGGAGGGGGGAGGGGGCACGCTGCCCTGCTCTGCCTCTCCGTCGTGCCGTAACGGAGTGCAAGTCTGCTAACGCGCTCTGGAGGTCAATGCCAATAACCCCCGCGTCCGTCCGCCAGTCCGTCCTCCCGCCCCGACCAAGTTAGAGTGATCCACCCCGCGGGCAGCACTTGCAGGCCGTGTCAGCAGTTCGCACAGGCAGGGGAATCACCAGCTGCAAATCGAGTGGAAACAAAACCACGACGCCACACTCGCCGCGAGGCAGGCGGCGACGGCGCCAGGCAGCTAGCACCCCATACAGTAGACCACTTTGTACTTTAGCGCGAAGCCGGTGCGGTCGGTGGTCCGCGGGTCTAGTCCGCGGGCTCGGTTGCCTAGCGACGTGCTCCGCTGCGGCAGGCTGCCGTACGCGCGGCACGGCCGTGGCATGGCATCGGCCCGAGTCGCGTCAAGTCGAGGAGCGGCGGGCAGCCGAACCGAGTCCGTGAGCCGAGCCGAGCCGAGCCGAGCCGAGCCGAGCCGAGCCGAGCCGAGCCGAGCCGAGCCGAGCCGAGCCGAGCCGAGCCGAGCGCCTTCCGAAGCGCGCCTTGCCTTCCGAAGCGCGCCGCGCCGTGGTCTCGGTCTCGGCTCCAAAGGCAAGGTAAAGGTAAATGACTCTGCGGCGTGCCTCCTCCCCCCCCTCTCCCCGCCGGGGGGCTTCCAGCAGAGAGAGGCTCCTCCAGGCCGTCCAGGCCGGGACGCAGGCCGGGACGCAGTGCAGTGCCTCGCGAGTGGCCAAGCGCGGAGGACGACGCCCTGCCCCGCCACGCCCGCCGGCCCAGACACACGCCGCGTCTCGCAGCGTCATGCCGCGGTGACGCCCGCCTTCTTCGCGCCCTTGTCGTTGTCGTTCGCGAGTGAGTGTGTGCAGTGCAGTGCCAGTGCACGATGGCGCTCAACGGGGTGCACAAGTGGTCCATGGAGACAGCCCGCTACCCGCCTTCGCACCACTCCCGCTCCCTGCACGTAAGTGTCTCCAGCCGTCGTGTCGGTGGATGGGCCGCCAGCGCGAGCTCCGAGCCGCTTGAGGTTCGTCTCCGCCGGTATAACGTGTCACCCTAGTCAGGACGGCCATGTCTCGTTTTGCAGTGCAGGCGAGCATGTGTCGGGCCCGAAACGGCATACGATCAATTTCGGTCTGGCCCTTAATGGTAATGGTAACGCAAGGTAGGCAGCAGAGCGGTGGCCGCGCGCGCCGGCGGTGCGGGTTGCCTACGCGCAAATGTACGGCGCTCTCAGCCTCCCAGCGCGCGAACGCAGCCCCGCCGACGACGACGCCGCAGCCGGGTTCGAACCTCAGTTCGACCACCTTTTTCGTGGCTTTTGATCTTTCCCACAGTGATTAGGAGAACGGCGGTGCGTCTCGAAGGCCAATGCCGGGCCGGAAAGGAACTATGTTAATTCCGGCGGACCCTCGGTGTAGTCCGGCCTACAGTGCAGGGGGCAGGGGCCAGCCCAGCCCCGGGCAGCCCCAGCCTCGCAGCGGAATCTAACGAATCGTGCGAAACGGATGGAGTGACGGCTGGAAGGTGTGAGAAAGGGGGAAGACGGGCCGATTCAATTTACGCGCTGCCTCACACACACACACACAGGGCGACGCAAATGCAACTCAGATTGTGCAATTACTATTACCGCTGTAGATGCGCCACGCTGCTACGCGCCTCGCGCATTATAAACCACCGAGTGCGGGAACGTCGCAACAGCAGTCTTCTCGTGGCGATAACAACAGCTAATTCGCAGGGCAAAAGGAAACAAACTAAAGCTCCCCCTCCCCCCACTGGACGTGTTCGCCGTCTCCTCTGCTCGGTTTTAGGGAGTGCCTGCGGTGCCGTGCCGGAGGACATTCTCCTGCAGACTGATTCTGTCTCTGTCGCACGCATCGGGCGTCCCAGGGGCGTCCCAGGCGCGTCCCAGGGGTGCGAGAGAGACCGCTGCGAAATCGGTGGCGCGTCGCGAATGGCGGCGCTATCGGCGGACACAGTAATGCTCTCGGGGGGAGCGTTGCCTGATAGGCCATGCCGTGCAGAGCGGCTCTCTGCACCGTGAAGGGAGTGAAGGGCCGGCCGAGGTGTCAATGCCGCACGCACCGCACCGCTGCGCGTATTTAACGAGGGGCTTAACGACGAATCGGCCCATCGAAGCAGATTAAGTCGTCCGCGCGGGCCGTCGGGCCGCTGCTGTAGCGGCCTTTCAGTTTGCCCCTGCCTTTGCCTTATCGTCCCGTGCGATGCGCTGCATTGCCGCATTCCGCTCTAGGCCCGGCAGCCCGGTGCAGGCCTGCAGGCCGGTAGGCCCAGCGCTTTGTCCGCGCCGTGCCGGCCGCGCCGGCCGTGCCCATGCAGGGCCAGGACTGCCAGGGCCGCCAGGGCCGCGAGGCGTCGATAAACAAGCCAGATACCGCAACCATCTCGCGATCCGCGATCCTCCTTCTCTTGGTCCCTTGGCGGCAGATCGCGCGACGGACACAATTATTCATTGCCGGAGGGAGCGAGAGAAAAAGCACGAACGCCGCCAAGAGAGGAAGAAAAAGAACGCCGCGGTCGCGGACGCGCGTTAGGCGGCTGGCACCGTCACAGTGCTCCTCTCGGCCGCGGCGGGGGCAGACGGCAGACTCCTCGCACGCTAGCCGTGCCAACAGGGCCAGCAGCGAAAGGTGGCGCGGGGGCCTCGGGTTTATTTTGCACTTCCGTGTTCCGACGGTCTGCTATCCATTAGATAACTCAATTTGACAGATGTCGAGCAGTTTCTCTAATGACACAGCCGAACTGCAGCTCTGTCCGTCCGTCCGTCCGTCTGCACGTCTGGCCGGCCGGCCGGCAGACTGGCTAGCTGGACGACTGACGTCTGAAATACCCGCACAGAATCCCCCGAGGTATTGGGGTTACAGTTTATTTATACGCTCTGCACCGCGGCCAGCCAGGCAGCCAGGCAGTCAGGCAGCCAGGCGGGCAGCCAGGTCGGCGAGGAGGTGCCGATAGGAATGCCGTCTGCATATTTTCCCCGCGCTGTCCGGTTCACTGCAGTGCATGCACACTGCAGGCAGCCTGCTGGCGGTCACAACTAATAAAACTAGCAGCATCAGCATCAAGCAGCGAGATGCGGCGTCGAGATGCGGCGGCCAGAGGAGCGGCCGGCAGGCAGGCAGCCAGGCAGCCAGGCTGGAAGCCAGGCTTGGAGTGGAGACCGGATCTGGAAGCCGGTCCTCCTAAATTGAAGCGCAATGGAATTGAGTAACGTGCGCTGGATTGTCTAACCCCGCGACTGGCCGGCCGGTCGGCCACCGCTCTCGTACGGACGCACGGGCGCCGCGTGCCGTTAGGGCAAGGGCACGTCCCGCCGGGACGACCAGGACGTGACGCTGCGACGACGGGATGCAGTCCCGTCGGACGGGTTCACCACCACGACGACGACGACGTCGCCGCGTTCGAATTTGGCCGCTCGACGTGAGCCACGGCCACGCCCCCTCGGATTCCAGCCGGCGTGGTGGCGACAGGCGGCACCTTGGGCGGCACGGGCCGCGGGGCTGCCAAGATGGCGGGCGTGGCGCGGTGCGTGGCGCGGAGGACGTCGTGGTATCGGGGGCGCCGGCAGCATTCCCGGGCAGGGCGCTGCGGGGCCGGGGCAGCAGGGTGATTCCACGCAAAGCTGCCGTCGGCCTGTCTCTCTCGCACTCATGGGACGACCCGAGCGGGTGCGAGAGAGACAGGCTGACCCTGCAGGCCGGGGCCTCCCGCTGGCAGCGGAACAAGACGAGCCATTCGGAAACATGCACGGGCTGAGGTGGTCCAAGGTAGCGTGGGAGTATCCCCGGTAACGCCGGTAACCATGGTAACGGTGCATCGCGAGATTTATTGCTGAGACCGCGTCGAGCGAGATCCAGTGGGGGCGAGGCAGGGCGAGGCAGGGCGAGGCTTTGTGCTGCCGGGACAGGAGCCAGCAGCTCCAGGGCCTGCAGGGCCTGCAGGGCCGGGGCGCACCGGAGCGGAGCGGAGGCGCCTCACCTCGTGCTGTTGGGGCAGCGGCCTGGACGGCCTGGCGGCGGCAGCGAGCGGCAGTGGCACCCTTGTCCCTTGTTCACATCAATACTCGGGCCGATCACGCGTGGGTGAATGGGTAGCGGCACAGCCGCCGACGCCGCGGTAACGGGTTCCAATCTCCGCCGGCCGGGGATTATGTACACGTCGTTGTCATTGCCAGTCACGAAGGCGAGCTCTCCGCTGATGGTGATATCGTTGTTGGGCCGCTGCTGCGGCTGGAGTGGCTGGAGCGCGGAAATGCAAACCGCAAGCCGCGGCAATTCGGGAGGGGCTCGCGGGGCTCGCGTCGACGGCGTGGCCCCGGGCCCCGGAGCCTTGACCGGAGCAATGCCCTGCTTTTTAATTAGTCGACTGGCGATACTCCACGTTCACGGAATCCCCGCGGCACGGCCGGCACGGCGCATCGACCCGCATTGTTCGAGAGCGCGGCGCACCGCCGCCACCGCCACACTAGGAACCCAAGGAACACGGGACGAAAGGGCGCCGGAGTGACCGCCGGGCCGGGATTGTCCGAGTGTGGCGCGCCACCCTGCGGGCCCTGGCAGTGCAGCGGTGCAGCGGTGCAGCGGGGCAAAGGCCAGGGTGCTGGGCAGTGCGGTGCTGTTCAGTGTTCGCGGTGTTCACGCTCCATCAGCTGTTGCCCCGACGACGCCATTGTTTGGATTTCAAAATAAGTAGTACCCGGGCCGCCAACACCGGAGGGACCAGAGGCCAGGAGGAGGCTGGCCCCGAACCGAACAGCGGTGTCGTCGCTCTGTCTCCCTCCGACCACGACGGGACGGGACGCGCCCCGAGTGCGAGAGAGACAGATCGACCAGACCACTGCCGAGCGGAATCACTCGGGGAGACAGGATACAGGAAGGGCCGCATCGTCGGCCAAAATAATCGCGACATTATTTTCGGTTCTTGTGTTGTTTGGAGTTGACTTTTTACGGACCCATAACCCGGTAGACAGTCGTCGATTTGTCACGCAGTCGAACCGACAGGTGGTCACAAAAGTAACGTTATAGAAAATTGTTAAAAAGGTACACTTTTTTCTAGACTGCTCTTTTTTTTGCGACACGAGATGCAAACTATGCCGTGCTGGGGAAGAGAGGGCGGGCGCGGAGTGTGGGTGTCTGGGGTGTCTGGGGAGCCGCAGCCGAGGCCGCAGCGGTGCCGCGCTTCACCGTTTGTCGAGATGCGCGGCAAACGAAACAGAGGTCTCTGTTTCTTTGGCCGCTGGTGTCACTGGCGGCAGGCAGGCGCGGCAGGCGGTACCGGTATAACAATTTGTCGGTTTGGCAGGCTGCTCCAGGCAGGTGGCAGTCCCCCCCGCCCATCGGTTGTCAGCCCTGCAATTGAAGGCGACGCGGCAGCCAAGGCACTGCCAAGCAGCCAAAGGCCGGACGCAAGTAGGGCGCCTAGTTTTTCCATCGCAACTAGCGGCCGCTTGTTTGCTGCTGCAGCCCCCCCCCTCCCCTTCACTGTCAAATTTTGAGCGCGGCGACGTGGGGGGGGGGGAGTAAAAAGTGTCGCAGCGAGGCGATGAGGCGACGATGATGGCGGGCATTATCTTTTGGTTCCAGTAGCGTGTGTAGACGGCTACGGTGGGCAGCGCTACCGCTGCGTCGCTCCAGTCAGGCCTCCAGCACTCCAGGGCTCCAGCCAGGCCTCCAGAGCCAGGCCTCCAGGCTGACTAGTGACTGCGCATTCCTCACACTCGCGACGCACAATGGCCGTCTTTAGGCTGTCTGGGCGCCCCGCCGCGCCCCGCCCCGCGGGGGTCTCTTTCATTCTTTCACACCCCGTTTGCACGGCTAATTCCCACCGACCGCGCCACTCAGCGCGCCGCAGCGCGACCTGCACTGCAAGAGGAGGCGCTTGCGATAATGTTTATTCGTATTCCTGTCCGAGGCGTCCTGCTCGCCGAGCATGAGCACCTCAGCC